TGGTCGAAGGCTCTGAGTGCGGTTCCCTAAGAAAATCACCTGCTTCAGTTTGGGCACTCGGTCAGTATCACAGCCTAAACATAAATCAAGTGACTTGTGTAGTGCATATGTATTTGGTATCCCCTAGTACCAATATTTATATGTTCAAATAAATAATCTCAGGTGGGTTTTGTGGATATTATAGTAATTTCAGTGGTTAAGATCATGAGTCGATTGAAGCTAGACCACTATAGAAAACCTGGAAGCACACGAAACCCATCTGATATTAATCAACATATGCTCACAAGTGACTGGCTTCACGAGGTATATCCTGGAGTTGTAGTGAGAAGTAGTGACCAGTCGAGTTCAATCAGGTCTTTTGTGAGATAGTAACTCACTGATGACAATGGTGGATGTGTCGCTCAATTTCATGGATTACTTGAAGTTAGACATCAACACTGTTGGATGCCGGTCGGCTCAGCGGTTTAGTGGTTAAGTGCTCGTGCGCGAAACCAGTAGGTTCTGTGTTTGAATCACGCAGGGGGCAAGGTCGTGGATGCGTACTGTTGAGTAGTCCCACAATAGGACGAAACGGCCGTCCAATTCTACCTGGTTTTCAATGGTGGTCTAGCTTCAACTGACTCACGATCTTAACCATTGAAATAAATAATCCATAAAAATCTCATTTATTAATTAATATCAATGAATATTAATTATTTCATTCACCATATCTTTAATTAGTTTGTTCATTATTCATAATTAGGAATTTGTTTTTAATTTTTATCATTAATTAATCTTAATTAAACAATCACTGAAAACTTACAAAACTAACAATTTCAACAATAAGATTATCATTATCTGAAATATAAGCGAACTGACATCAGTATTCTATAGATAATATATATAGAACCCCGAGAATTTTAATGGGAAACCGTGACCAGTGGAGATAATCCGTGTCGGATTGGTTGAGGTTAGACATTGACACTATTGGATCCCGGCCGGCTCAGTGGTCTAGAGGTTTAGTGTCCGCACGTGAGACAGAAGGCCCTGGGTTCGAATCCAGCGAGCGGGGTCATGGATATGCATTGCTGCAGAATCCGACAACAGGAAGAAACGGCCGTCCAATGCTTCCGGGTCTTCAATGGTGGTCTAACATTTATCAGTTCATGATTTCAATCTAAAACTTAATAATCTTTACAACTCTATACTGTTATATATATATATATATATATATATATATATATATATATATATATATATATATACGAATATTCATCAAGATTAGAACGAATAGTTTGACAGTAATTGAGCGCCGAGTATAGAGAAGTCATTATATGTGAAAATTATATTTGAAATATTCTCAGCGATTGAAATTTAACTAATTCCAACGTTTCGTCCAGCTAACTTGTCTGGACTTCTTCAGGGTAATAATCAAAATCAAAATTATCAAAGAAATATATAGCTTTTAACAATCAGGATTATACTGTGTTAAACCAATCATATTTGGATGTTGATTTTTTGTAAAATAGGATAAAATGAGTCAGTTAACTACAAATCATGTGATGAATTCAACTACATGGAAATACTTAACTGAGTAACAAATCGTATGTGTGTGAGTGTATAGGTATGTATGTATGTGTGAGAGATTGATATGAAGGAATAAATAAAGTTCAAGTTCAAGGATGAAAACTTGATAATGAAAGATCGATGTGCATGTCAAAACATAAATTGTATTGTTTAAAAACTCATTCAGTTCTTTCAATAATAATAACGATGCATGTGATATTAAAAACAGGTTTAAACAAGAGATAGGTTCCAAATTTACTTGTCAAACGAAATTTGCCAGGTAGTTGCCATTTGAATACCATCTTTTCGGTTCAGGCTGTTCTTGTTCGCCCATATATGCAGAGCTTCTGCTGTCAATCTTTCTTTATGGGTGTTAAAACCTTTCTGAAGTATTTTGGTCCCTTCAAAATTAATCTTGTGTCCTGTTTCTAACGCATGTAACGCTATCGCTGACTTATTTTCAAGTTTCTTTAAATCTACCGAGGATTTTGGAACATTTTTCAAGCATTGTTTGTGTTCCTTCAATCTTACATTTAATTGCCTGGATGTTTCTCCAACATAGGTAGCATTACAGTCATGACAGTGAATCTCATACACAATGTTCTGTTGTTCTTCCTTTGCTAACTTGTCCTTAACTTTCACCAATGTCGATCTTAATGTGTTATTTGCTCTAAAATACACTCTTATATCATGTTTGTTTAGAATCCGTTTGATTTCTTCTGATGTTTCACTCCGGTAAGGTATGACTACGGTGTACTTCCATTCTTTTCGTATACTTTCTAGTTTAGTTTTTCTTTCATTTTTAATAATCTTTTTTAAAAACCTTTTTGGGTAGTTGTTATCCCTAAGAGTAGAAAATACTTTATTTAATTCGGTTCGTTGGTCTTCCTTGTCTGTAACAATCTTAGTACTTCTGTTCATTAGATTTTTTACCACATTAATTTTCGTGCTCTGTGAATGGGCTGAATTAAAATCCAAGTATCTCTCGGAATGCGTTGATTTTCTGTAAACATTTATTTTTAACTTCTTATTATTGTGTCGACGTTCAACCAGACAATCTAGAAATGCTAGTTTGTGGTCAACTGATTCTAATTCCTTAGTTAGTTTAATGTTTTCAGAAATGCTGTTTGCATTGTTAAATAGTTCTTCCATACCATCCCGTTTATTGATAATAAAAATATCGTCTACATACCTTAACCATAACTTTGGTGGACATAAACTCTTTGCGATTGCACTAGTTTCTAGGGAATGCATGAATAAATTCGCTACAATCGGAGAAACTGGTGAGCCCATTGCTATACCCTCTTTCTGTCTGTAAAGTTGACCTCGAAATATGAATAAGGTAGATCTTAAACATAATTCTAAGCATTTTATAACCTCTGATGGATCTAATGGGCATCGTAAATTCAAATCTAAATCAGATTCTAAATAATCATTGATAATATCCATAGCTCGACTGATAGGTACATTAGTGAATAAGGAAGATACATCAAAACTTGCCATTATTTCGTCCTCTTCTATATCGATGGTATCAATTAAATTCTTGAATTCCATAGAGTTTTTAATTCCATGATTAATCGTTTTTCATATGGTTTGAGAATCTTAGCTAAATATTTAGCTAGATTGTAAGTCGGTGAATTTGTATAGTCTACCACTGGTCTTAGTGGAGTATTATTCTTGTGGATCTTTGGTAGCCCATAAAATCTGCATGGATTACAACTCTTTGGATATAACATAAACCATAAGGACGATCCTAGCTTAGCTTTTAATGACTGTAAGAGTTTGCTATATATATATATATAAGTGTAGAGTTTGTAAATATTGATACATACTGAAATAATTATCTACAATTATAACATAAGTGCTTTGTGTTTGTATGATGAATCGGTTCTCTGATCTATCATCATATAAAGTCCAAGAATATATCGATAGCTAATTTACCGTTTTTCATAACCTTTTTCGGTTGAAAACATGATGATACTAGAGTTGTTGTAGAGATTTACGTTATCTAGTTTCTTGTCAAAATAACTGTAATGAAGAGGAATCTAAAAATGTGTACACATATGCACATATTTGAATGTGAAACGTTTATTTTTTTGTGGTTAGCGTTTTTTTAGCAAGTTATTTTTTATACGGGATGGGGTCGCTAACCCCATGCCCAACTCTCCTCCTTTATTCGGGCTTGGGACCGGCAGTAGCCCCTGGAGGGACTCCAGGTGGAGTTGTGAAACGTTTATACGTCGTTCGAATTATAACGTTTGTCATACATTCATACTTTTGATAATGAACGACAATTTGAATAAATGATTTAAACATTGATTGTGACTAAACTCTATGTAGTATTGACAGTGGAGCGGTTATAAAATAACTAAAGTTTATAGATAAAATGTTCACTCTATTGTGGTCAGTTTGTATTTACAATGAAGCTTTTTAATGGGTACACTTAACCAAAATTTATATCTGAAACTACTAAAACACAACTTCTTTATTGGTATTATATATCGCATTGAGGAAGACAATAGTTAATTAAATTAAACCAGTGAAGGATCATTTTAATTATAAGCTGGAAATGTTAACATCACTAATTGATCATTACATAGATTATATCAATAGCTTCTAATCTAACTAGCATTGTTTGAATTTATAATCTATTGCCATCGACTATCTTATTTATTTTTTTCCTAATCATAACTTTTCGGTTTAAAGTACCTAGAAAGATACGACTTAGGTCATGATACAACAACATTCTACCAAATTTGATAAAAGAGCATTAGAAATTGATTACTAGTAAAGGGCTAGACAGAGATGATATCTTTCACTACTTAGTGATAAAAAAATGTTAAATATTTTCACAGCTGAATTCACGAGTTGATCTAAACTAGATCACTATTGAAAACCTGAAAACACTAGAAGGCCGTATCGTTTTGGTATGGAACTGTTCAGCAGTACGCACTCACGATACCGAACGTGAGACATTAACATCGTTGAATGACAGCTCAGTGTTATAGAGGTTAAGAATTTGCACGCCAATCCGAGGGTCATGGGTTCGGGTCCTATGTGCAGGATCATAGGTGCAGACTGCTGAAATGTTCTATACTAGGACGAGCCGGTCGTCCAGTGACTACAGGTTTTCAACGGTGATCTAACTTAGATCGACTCGTTAGTTCAACTGTTAAAATACTACAATCTCCACAAATCCCCATACTGCTTACTTTAAATATCTCAGTTACCCAGGTTGTCAGTTGAGACAGATCTGGATAGACGGTAAAACGTTAGTCAATAATGCTTGGTGATAGGGATTTAATTCTCGCAGAACGCATCATTTTCCTTTAAGATTACAATGATACCATACTGACGAGTGGTAATGAACATCTAGTCCAACTTAGTTTATAGCTTTCTTACATCTAATACAACATATCAATTCATTTAACACATAATATCAACCATTAACTTACCTATAATAAATAATAATTCAACAATAATATCACATATAATTAAGTCTTTTCATCACCTCCCTGAGAAAATGCTGCATTATATGGTACCATTATAGCAATATAAAATGTACATAATAATATCATCCAATCCCAAATAATTTTAAATAAACTATAATGTAATAATATAAATCTTGATGCTTGTACATCTTGAACTTTATATTCAGGTATTGTTTCTTTGCCAGAAATACGTTGAAACTGAGAAGAGAAATTTTCGAGAAGAGAAACAAAAAAGACAAAACACATTATCACTTTCAATGAAACTGTCAATAATAGGTTTATCTGAACCTATATTGAGTATTAAATCAAATATCCATTTTGATTCAAATGTTCAATGTGTTATCCATTAAGCTATTGAGTTCAGATAGTTAGTTAGAGTATGATGATAACAAGAAAGAGTTTAGATTATGTAATTATTGATTTTATATCACTATCGAATAAGTTTATTTTCAAATGAGGATAAATTGACAATCTCGTGATAGCGAAATCGTGGATGTTCACTGTTGAGGAGTCCGATAACAGGACGAAATGGCCATCCAGTGCATACAGGTTTTCGATGATGGTCTAGATTCAATTGATTCATGATATCAACTATTGAAATTACTATAATATCCACAAAACCGTTCTGATATGAATCAACATATGCTCACTAGTGACTGGCTTCAACAGGTGTATCTTTGAGTTCTAGTGTGAAGTAGTAATCAGTCGAGTTTAACTGGATCTGTTGTGCGATATCAGGTCACTGATGACAATGGTGGATGTGTCGCTCGATTTCATGGATTAATTGAAGATAGACATTAACACCGTTGGATGTCGAGCGGTTGGTTGATCTAGTGGTTAAGCGGTCGCGCGCGAGACTGATAACTTTTGAGTTGGAATCTGGCGAGGTGAGATCATGGATCACACCACTGAGAAGTTCCACTTTAGGACGATTTGGCCATCCAGTGACTCCAGGTTTTCATGATGTTCTAGCTTCAATTGACTCATGAATTCAACCATTGAAATTATTATAATATCTGACCTTTTTGAAAAGTGAAAATGTCATTTTACTTCGACTTATTTTCAGATCATTTTTATTCTTAATGTTGGATAATACATCTAATATTCGATGGTGAATGAATATAGTTTATTCGCCAGTACTGATCTTAAACCTGGGAACATTCTATAAAAAGTTTTCTATACGTCACGTTAAATTTTGTTAGAATATTGAGTTATTGTGTCTGTGAATAGCATTATTATTATTACTACTATTTAGTGAGTAAGAATGTGTGATTGGCTAATGTATTACCGGATAACATGAATCCTACAATTTGATCTATGCTTAATTATATGTTCATTCTAGAAAAATGTGTGTTTTTCTCTTAATTATTGTAAAGATAATGGTAAATGCCAGTTGTTAATTATGTTCAGAAGATCACTTCTAAAACGATTTCATGTCAACACTGAAGTTTTCAATTACAACACTACAAATATACTTTGACAATTTACATGACTATATGTTGGATTATGTAGTAATTATGGGCAATACAATAAAGGAAAAAAGAGACAGTCGTCATTCATATCCTCTTCGAAATCAAGTATAGCTAATTAGAGACAGATATCTACATCAGACAATAAAAGATAGTTGCACAATTTCGAGGGTTGATTGAAGTTAGATATTAACGTCGTCGAATTCCTATTCAAAAGTCTAGAGGTTAAGTGAGACCGAAAGTCATGCGTTTGAATCCAGCGTCCGGTATCATGAATGAGAACTATTGAGGAGTCCCATACTAGATTGAAACGGCCTTCAATATATTCAATGGTGATCGAAAATTCATCGATTCATGATCTCAATCAAAACTAAACAAAAGAATTTGAAAAATCTTTTTTTAGTGTTATAAAGGCTGATACATAACTTGTGAGAAAGGTTTTAAAAAAAGGGTTAACATTTTATCACACTTATCTTTGAACTATCTTATGGTTGTCATGATATTTTACATAAATGAACTTGTAAACATCTGTATAAATTCACAGCAAATGAATACAAGGAAATCATATTATTATATGTGAATAATGTTACTGATAAATCTAAATACCTTAATAAAGTGAAATTGATATTTCTTGTGAAGATTTCTAACAGTATTTATCAAGGTGCTAATCAGCGACATTTAGATCAGTGTATATATATATACATTAGTAAGTATCAGATAACATCCAAATGGTCAATGCTTTACTAACTCACATACTCCTGTTGATCCTAAGGAAAAGCATAAACCAACCAACAGCATTCTCCATCAAACTATGTCCTAGTCAGTCCTTTCCAGTTATTCCTAGTTGCAATTCATCCTTTTCATATCTACTTCCAATTCTCAACACAGTGTGTTCTTTGGCCATCCACTTTTCCATTTCCATTCAGGATTCCAAGTTAGTGCTTTCATCGTGATGCAATTTGATGATTACCTCAATCAATATCCTATTCACTTCCAACGTTTTTTCGAATTTCTTCTTCAGTTGGAAATTAGTTTGTTCTCTTCCATAGTAGGCTGCTACTGACTTTATCCGGTCAACGAACATTCAGTATCGTACTTAAACAATTGTTTATAAATATTTGTACTTTTTTAATGATGATTGTGGTAGTTCAGCTCCGTACAGTAGAACTGTCTTGACACTCGTAATGAAGATTTTTATTTTGATATTGGCTTGTAGACATTTGGTTTTATTCCATATGTTCTTCATTTCCTATTGAACGCTTGTTCATTTTAGGCCACTTTAACAAGACATAATTAATGACTATTTGTGAACTGACGTAAATATCTTGGATTAGTACTCTAATGACGACAGTTACGAATATTTACAGGAAATATTAGTGACCTTTGATATAGATATTTACCTTACTGTTAAATATCATCTATAATCCTCACATAGTAATACGACTAATTATAATGACATTTATCAGTTTAGGGGTTGTGGAGATTGTTAAGTTTTTGATTGAGATCATGAACGGATTGATGTTAGACCACTGTTGGGAACCTGGAAGCAATGAAAGGCCAACTCGTCTTATTGTCGGACTCCTCAATAGTGCGCATCCACGATCCCGCCAGCAGGGTTCAAACCCAGGGCCTTCAGTCTCTCACGCGAACGATTAACCTACTGGACCACTGAGCCGGTCGGCATCCAACGGTGTTAATGTCTAACTTCAACCAATCCACGAAATCGTGTGACCATCTTCCATTTTACTGAGGTAGAAACCTGTTTTGACCCGACATGGATTAGCTCTATATCTATAATGATATCATTCTTTTCACAGAAAATACTACTAATAAATATTAATAGTATATTAATGAATAAATTTTTATCTTTCTTACTTTTTTAAATGGTAATTTATGCTTAGATTTTTGATCAAATCGTCCAGATAAATGATATAATACAGCCCGACTTCGTCTTCTTTGAAATTTATAAACAGTTGATGGATCATTAGTTAAATTACTTGATTCATCACTTGATGTATCCGTTGAATCAGATTCATGAACTATTAAACGTGTAGGATCCAATAATTTATTACCGTTATTATTATTATTACCATTACTTTTATATTCTGTTATTAAAAGTGGACCACTTTCAACATCAATTGGATCTAATAGAATATTTTGTTTTGAACTATTGAGAACATCCTTTATTACAGTATTATTACTTGTTGATGAATATTTCGTTAATGATTTATTCGAATCAATAGAAGTACGATCTGATAATTTTCTATTTACAATTGAAGTATTTCTATCTAATTTATTATAAGTAATGGTAGTTGTTGTTGGTGGTGATGTTGGTAGTGGGGGTGGTATTGTTGTTGTATTCTTTCTAGCACTTAAATAATCTAATAATTTATTATTACGAAATCCAGTTGAACCAAGAACTGCTGCTGTAATTGTTGTTGCTAATCCCATTGTTAATAAATTTGGTGTTTTATTTGATGGAGATGTTCCAGTTAAATGTTGAGCAGATAACATATATGGTACTTTTAAACTTGATTCAGGTATACTATAGTTGGCTTTATCTAGAATTTATAAATATAGTAATTATAATAAAAAAATAAATGTATTACCAATAACTGTAAGCATTTAGGATAATAATATAGTACAGTGATAGAATACAAATGAATATTAAGTAACATGATAGTAATGCAATGAAATCCAGTTTTTTTTTAAGGTTTCCAATGGTGGTCTAACATCCGTTGGTTCATGATCTCAATCAAAAACTTAATAATCTCCACAACCCTATACTGCTTATTAACACGTGCTCACTAGTGACTAGCTACATAAGGGAATCTCGGAGTTCTAATGAGAAGCTGTGATTAGTGGAGCTAATCCATGTCGAGTAGAGACAGGTATCTAGCTCAGTACAATGGAAGATGGTGGTGCAATTTCGTGGATTGGTTGATGTTATATACTAATACCATTGGATGCCGGCCGGCTCAGTGGTCCAGTAGGTTAATCGTTCGTGCGGGAGACTGAAGGCCTAAGGTTTAAACCGTGCGAGCGGGATCATGGCTACGCACTGTTGAGGAGTCCGACAATAAGACGAGTTGGCCTTCCATTGCCTCCAGGTTCCCAACAGTGGTCTAACATCAATCGATTCATGATCATCTCGTTTATTTTCTAGCATTCATGTCATTGATTATAAATTAATTTTCAAATAATGAATGTCTCTTAGGCACATAGAAAATAATTTTGGTGTACGATAAACTCATTAATGACATATACAACTGTGACACTGAATAATCCTGTAGGAAACATGAATTCTATGATGATGTCAAAAACACTGTACTCATGTCAAGTAACACAAAGGTTAAATCGAAGGATTCGTGATGATTGCTGTTATACATATAAGCTCTTCACGACATTAGAGCACAACTGAATTATTGATGATTTTGGTAATTTATATAATATTGGTAGGTATTAAAAGAATAGTGATGCTTCTGTAGTTCTCATACTTGCTTAGATTGCCTACCTTTAGTATCTTGATCAGGTGTTTTCTTTCCAGTCTTTTGGTACTTATTCTTTATCCCAATCTTGTTGAAGAGAATGTTGAATATCTTTTTAGTTACTGCTACGTTTGCTTTCAGTGTCTCTTCTGGAATGTTGTCTAATCCCACTACTTTGCTGCTCTTGTTTTATTTCCTACTTACTATAAGCTTCATACATATATATATGAATAAAAACTGTTTTGTAGTTCTTCCTAGTCTTTAACATCCATTTAGTTAATTTGTAAATACAATAAAAACTATAATCTTAAACTAATAGTAATATATTCACGTTGATATAAGTAGTATGGATGATTGAATATATCATTAAATTAAAAATTCGTTAAGATGGTTGATAATGATAGATGAGTGAAGTAAAATTAATTTCCTGATGTATATTTATGAAACATAGTTACCATTATCAGTGTATATGTTGGAGAAAAAAGCACACACGCACACAAACACACAAAAACACAATTCCAATAGTCTTAGTTTCAAAACAGGTTGGAGGTAATCAAAAATTTAGCTGATCTTGACGTACGTTTTTGTTTCTGTTTTTTTTGGTTGTTGCTTGGATGGATATGAAAATTGATGACCATTTATAACAAACTGATCCACAAAATGATCACTTATGTAGAGATTCATTACTTTGATATATGTCAATAAAGTGAGCAATGTAATGACATAAACTATAATATTTACAGTAGATGATAAAACAATAGTCATGGTTTTTTAATTTTTAATTAATTGAAAAAATGTCAATATAGAGTTATGAAGATTGGTGATTTAGATTGATCTCATGAACGAATCAATGTTAGAGTAATATTGAAAATCTGAAAACATTGGACGAACGTTTTGTCCAAGTATGATATAAGTATGTAAGCATCCACGATTCCTCATGTAGGACTCGAACACATGACCTTCAGTTTCGAGTACGGATGCTTAAACTCTAGACCACTGAGCTTGTATACAACGGTGTTAATGTTTTATTTTAATCAATCCACGATATTTTGCTACCGTCCACTATTGTCTTCTGTGACTAACTACTTCACAAAAGACACGGTTGAATTTCACTGGTCAAGGTTTCTTACCAGAACTCCAGGAGATCCATCTTTGTGCTATCCGCTGTTTGATGACGGTTCAGTGGTCTAAAGGTTAGGCGTTCGTGGGTTCGAGTCCCACGTGAGGGATAGTGGATGTCCAATGCTGACAACTAACTCTTTCTCAACTCATAAATTTGTTTTATACTATTGAATGTAAACGTTTCACAACGATATGTAAACAAGTTGTGCCTTTGTATGTTGATAATTCTGAAAATGCTTCAAGGTAATTGATCTAACAACATAGTAAATCATCTAGTCGAACTAGTTATATTGTGTAATAGCTGGAATAAAGATGTTTCAGTCTGACTGTTCAATTACCTAAAGTAGAGATATTTAATTTAGTCATTTCCTATGAGTTAATCTTGTGTGATAATGTAATTAATATAATTATTACATATTTTATCTAAGATAGTTCATATAACAATTTGATGGACGTTTAATGCCGAAGTAAATCTGCATTATTCAAAGAAGTAAAACTTCTCGCGCGCGAACGCCAGATCGACAGGTCCTAGATTCTTATGAGGTGGGATCGTAGATGCGCACTGTTGAGGCGTCCTACAGTAGGACGAAACAACCGTTCAGTGTTTCCACCGTTGGAAACTTGGAAGCACTAGACGGCCACTTCGTCCTATTGTGGGACTCCTGAACAGTGCGCATCCATAATCCCGACTCACGAGATTCCAACCCAGAACCTATCAGTTTCACGCGCGAACACTTAAACCATATACCATTGAGCCGCTCGACATCCAACAGTGTTAATATCTAATTTCAACTAATCCATGAAATTGAGTAACACATCCACCATTGTCATCAGTGACCTGATATCGCACAACAGACCCAGTTAAACTCGACTGATTACTACTTCACACTACAACTCCAGATACACCTGTTGAAGCCAGTCACCAGTGTTGATATCAGAATGGTTTTGTGGATATTATAGTAATTTCAATAGTTGATATCATGAATCAATTGAATCTAGACCACCTTGGAAAACCTGTGAGCACTGGATGGCCGTTTCTTCCCACTGTGGGACTCCTCAGCATTGCATATTTCATAAGGTCTACCGCTAGCTAAATAATCATTCTAATAATTATCAGTTGTTTATTGTTGATGAATTTATTTCATTATAATTCATTCAGTCAGTATGATTTTGACCTCTCATCATTAGACAGTCTACTATATCTAGCCCTCAAATGTCCTGGTACGGTCGTGAGCGGGAAGAGTCAGCTCTCCTTCTCGAAATGTTCTCACATGGATATGTGCATACAAACACTGACAGGGAAGCCCACTCACTGCATTTTCGCGGGGAGGGGTATTGTTCAAGAAATTGAGAGGATGAAAAGCGAATATCCGGCACTTTAACCGGGTTTGTAGACACGGAAAGTCCACCTAGGGGAATTGTAAAACCCTGATGCCAAACCAATGGTGCACATGGACTCCAGGATCTTGAAGGAAAAAATGGTGTGTGAACCAATTTTTGGTTATCGGCTACCATGGGACTGCATCTCTTGACACTGCTCCACTGCCTTGTGGATTAGACCTTTAGGTCAAAGGCTGTGGGTGTGACCCACTAAGAAAACCACCTGCCTCTGTCTAGGTACCTGGGTAATATCCCAACCCTCATACAAATCGAATGATTTATGTGACACATATCTATTTGATGCATCCTTGTAACAATGTTTATGTGTGATATGTGAATATCAGAAATAGAAGAAAATTATGATAAGAAAAGTTTACAATCATTGACGAAGAACGAAACAGAAAAGAATTTTAATCAATCAAACTACTATTTTTGTTTACACATAGTAATTACATTAACTTCAGTTAGTGTTTGTTATTGTTAATCTAAATTTGTATTCTTTTTTCTTATAATTAAAAGTCAATAGAATTTTATGTACCTCATTTATTATCAGAATGGGTTTTGTGGAGATTTTAGAAATTTCACTGGTTAAAATCATGAGTCATTTAAAGCTCGAACACCATGGAGAACCTGGAAGCACTGGACGGCCGTTTCGTCCTACTATGGGAATTTTCGGCAGTGCGCATCCACCATCACGCCCCCCCCGCGAGATTCGAACCCAGAACCTATCAGTTTCGCGCCAGGCGCTTAACCAACTAGTTCACTGAGCCGGCATCCAACGGTGTTAATGTCTAATTTCAACAAATCCACGAAGTTGCGTCACCGTACACCATTGTCTTTAGTGAGTTCAATTAGGACTGTTGTAAGATAGGAACTCGCTGAAGACAATGGTGTACAGTGACGCAACTTCGTGGATTAGTTGAAATTAGATAATAACACCGTTGGATGTCGAGCGGCTCAGTGGTTTATAGTTTAAGCGTTAACGCGCGAGCCTGATAGGTTGTGGATTGGAATCTTGCGAGGCGGTGCTGTGGGTTGCGTACTGCTGACGAGTTGCATACTAAGACGAAACGGCCGTCTAGCTTCAATTGATTCATGATTTCAACTACTGAAATCACTATAATTTTTACAAAAACCCTTCTGATATATACTATTGTCTATACTTGTTTACAATGTTAGTTTAATTTGTGAACTCACTACAATAAATATTGTAAGAATGAAAACAGTCAAGGGATGTATCTTACTCCAATTTTAAAGTTATAAGGGAATTTAATAATTGAATTCATGAGTCAATTAAAACTAGACCATCATGAAAAATCTGGAAAAACACTGGACAGCCGTTTCGTCTAGTATCCTCAGTAGCACACCATTTTCATTCCTTTACAGCTTGTTTCTTTTTATCATGAATTCAATCATTAAATTATTAAAATCTTCACAAAATTACCCTTTCGGATTATAAAGGAATGTTATTTGAAAAAGTCGACAAGTAGTTTTTTTTGTGCAAAATATCTTCACTTAATGGATCAGATATTGGTTCTCATTGGTAACCAAATATTATCATGATGCAATGTGTATTATTACTTTAAAACTTTATAGAAACATTACTATACTACTGATTTGGATCTGATGATGACAAGAAATTTGATAAGTATTTAGATAGTAATGAGTAGTAGATAGATACTCAAAACAATCAATTCATTATTCAGTATTCATTAATATTATGTATTATTTTCATTGGTTATTAACGTTTACTTATTATTACATAGTAGTAGATTAACTACATCAAGTCACAGTTCCTAGAAAGAGTAAGATACACCTAGATCACTAAATTTAGACTTGAAGTTATTTGTTTTACAAGCCAGTTGACATGTATCTAATGCTAATATCGAAAACAATTTGATTAATTACATAATTTAATTTGACCTACCATTTGAATTTCAGTAATTTACTTTGAAAGTAGTCATTAAAAGCTAATGGTAAACAGTAGTATTGTAATGAACGAGAACACAGGTGAGGATACCTGATTATATCTCTACATAAAGTTAAAGAGTTCTTTGGTAAAATGAGAAACCATACGTTCGATACTTCATTTATAAATCCTCTATTAGTTGTCTCAAACTTCATCGTTCCTTCATTCTCATAACAATTACTCTCTACTCCCGTTCTCTACAATTCCATCTTCCCAACCTTCTGCTAATGGTGTTAAATGCAACATATGTTGACATAAGTCGCATTAACCACAGTACGAACATTTGTGTTTATTGAATTGCCTCCAAATACTCTGGTACAGCCAAGGGTGGGTAGAGTTTCTCTCTCTCTCGAAATGCTCTCACATAGCAACGCATATAAATCCTCTGACAGAGAAGTTTTAATCACTGCCTCCTCTCAGCAGAGGCGTTGTTTACGAAATTGAGAGGACGAAAAGTGGATGTCCGGTGTTTTAACCGGGTTTGTAGGTACAAAGGAACCATATATGGGGGAATTGGAAAACGCTGATTTCAAACCAATGATGCATATGAGCTCCAGTATCTTGAAGGAACAAATGGCATAGGAACCAACTATTGGTTACTGGTTACCATGTGACTGCATCTCTTGATGTTGCTCCACTGCCTTGTGGATCAGACCTTTAGGTCAAAGGCTCTGGTTATGGCCTCCTAAGAAAACCCTGTATTTCGGTTTAGCCACCCATGCAGTATCACAGTCCACACACAAATCCAGTAACTTGTGTGGCGCATATGTATTCGATACCCTTTTCTATAAATATTTATATGTTCAAACAAATGAATAATAATGATGATCACCATAATATCACTATAGTAATCATTCTTAAGTGAAATGACGTTATAAATGATACTGAAGTAGTTAAGCATAAGATTGATTGTATTACAACTTTTGTTTTTAAATTCATTTCCACATTGTATAAATTCTTTCTTTATTTTTATATGTATTTAACGAATATATCAAATAAAATGTCATATAAATATATATTCACAATAGACTTTTATTGGTATCCATAGTTGTTGTAAAATAACGCGCGAGCACACACACGTACATTTCATTGTTCAACTGATTGGATAGGTTGAAGTTAGACATTAACACCGTTGGATACCGGCTCAGTGGTCTAGTTGGTTAAGCGCCTGACGCGAGACTGATAGGTCCTGGGTTCGAATCTCGCTGAGGGGTCGTGACCGTGGATGCGCACTGCTGAGGATTCCCATAGTAGGATGAAACGGCCGTTCAGTGCTTTCAGGTTCTCCATGGTGTTCGAGCTTCAAATGACTCATGATTTCAACCAGTGAAATTTCTAAAATCTCCATAAAACCCATTCTGATAACTTTTGTACAACTTATTATGAAATAAATTATGAAATTAAAAGAATCCTAAAAGAAAAGTACATTTTCCCTATCAACAATATATATACACTTACTTCGTCCATGTCGATCAGGTGATAACTCTTTATGAGATACAAGAAATAGAACAACTTGTGATTTGTCATTTTTAATTGGTACAATATCCAATAAACAAAGAAATGGTTCATCTTTAAAATAAAATTAAAAAGAAAAACAATTATATTAGGATATAATAATGATAATCATCAATTTGATTGTAAATATCATAGAATGTTATTATTACTCATAGTTTGTTTTTGTGAGGACAGTTCATAGGTGAACTTGAAGAAGCTCTAAGAAGTTCGGAAAGTGACGAAGATATTCCAGAATCCCTACGTGAAGCTTTCTTAATGTACAAATGGTAATAACCACCTGTATGTGGATTAGAGGACAATAATGATGATTTCATTTTCACTAAAAACTATAAATACTTGACAGTTTTGTATCATATTTGATACTGTTCGTTTCACATGTCTTCTGTTTTCTCATTAGCGACTTGGGAGTGTTCTAGCATTCAAGTGTTAAATCTTACGCGGTATATAAAGAATCTAAACTCTAGATATAACAATTTAAAATTACATTTTCATTTGTTCTAGTATGAGATTCCATAGCTGTGTATCCACGATCCCAAACGCGGAACTTCTGTGAGGACACTTAACTTCTAGATCACTGAGTCTTCATCAAATAGTATTAACGTCTATGTGCAATAAATCCACGACATGATATTTCGCATTCATCTGCAACACTGAAGTAACATTTTATAATCTTTCTGTGAGACTGAACCTAAAATATTTTATTGCTTATCATTCTAATGATATGAGGATATAATAGAACAGAAGTGTATGTAGTATGAAAATTCAACCCCATCTAATGTACTTATTTATTTGTCCACTCTCTCTATAATCCGAACCCAATTTGATTATATACACTAATTATCGTAATGAAATTATTTATTTTCATATTACCTTCTGTGAGATGCTGAAATTGAGTCGGAAGTTAGTTAGCGACTCATTACTTTGAAACCTATTTAAACACATAAACATTGGTACAAGAAGGCACCAAATAGATATAAACCACATAAATCATTCGATTTGTGTGACGGCTGGAATACTGCCCAGGTGCCCAGACTGAAAAGGTGCTTTTTGTGGAGGGGCACACCCGGAGCCTTCGACCTAAAAGTCTAATCCACAAGGTAGTGGAGCAACGTCAAGAGATGCAGTCACATGGTAGCCGGTGACCAACAATTGGTTCATACGACATTTTTTCCTACAGGATCCTGGAGTCCATGTGCACCATTGGTATGGAATCAGGGTTTTCTAACTTCCCTAGGTAGACTCTCTGTGTCTAAAAAGCCGGCTAAGGCACCGGACATCCACTTTTCGTCCTCTCAATTTCGTAAACAACACCCTTGTTGCAAGGATGCAATGAGCAGGACTTTCCTGGCAGTGGTTGTATGTACGTGACCATGTGTGAGAATTTGGAGAGAGAAGCTAGTTCTCCACACTCTTGGCCGTACTAGGGCATTTGTCTCTTTATACAATTTATAAAGAATAGTGAGAAAAACTATTTGATCGGCAAGAGACAACTTGAAAATCGATATAAGTTACTTTGAAAATTAAATTACGCGCGAAATATGTTAGGACTAAAATTAGTGAATTGAAAAAAAAAACATGTCTGAAATGAACATGATCATTTCAAGTCAGTGATGTAAATTTGATATCTTATATATGTTTCAATTAAAACTAGATGATTTAATAGTGTAATATTTATATATACAGTGGAAGGTTTTGGATTTATCTTCTGTAAATTTACAGTTAGGATATGGTGAGAGTTATGAAGTCAGTATGGCAATTGATGATTCTTATTGTGAATAGTTATTTATTTGACTGCATACATTGATAGACTAGAACTTCATTTTTTAAAGAGATCAACCAAACCTATTTGATAATAAATATATAGATATTTTTTGTTATATCCTAATAAGTAGAAAAACAATACTTCTGATGTTTCGTGACTTAAAGTAAGCCTCTTCTTCAGAATAACTATCAAGTTCAAACCTTGATAATGATATCTACAAACCTACTCAATGATGATAAAACCATTTTTAAACAAGTAGTATATTCATAAATTTTAAATAGAAGAATTACATTTGAAGATAGAATATTTCACAAGTGTAACTTATGAACCTAAGGAACCTTTTAAATTATTTCAACGTTCAAACTGACTAATTCACAGAAATAAACATGACCAAAATAATTCTTAACAGTATGCGGGATTTGTAATGGTTAATCAGTTTATGATTTTTATTATAGATTAACTTTACAATTGATTGATCACTGGGTGGTGATCAATGTCATGCGTGTCTAGTCCTTATTAGTGCAGATCGAATGCTATCGATCATGTTGCAATGTGGCCACCAGTCTAGGTGACTCGACATTGCAGGCACTATATATTGAGATTAGATGGTGGTTGGAGGTAGTCGAAAGGAAACCCTGATGACTCGGGTTTCGTGCTACTTGGCACTCGTCAACAAGGTGTACCTGTAATCTTGAGGGAACTGGTTCTCCCTGACGGATTCGATCTCGTGTCACCCAGCTTCACAGTCAGAGACGTTACCACATGACATTGGTCACCACCCAGTGATCATTCAATTGTGGTTACATCTTAGTCCTACAGGAGGTCGATCACGGCCCGCATAGCTCAGTGATAATGTCTCTGACTGTGTAGCTGGGTGACACGGGATCGAATCCACCAGGGAGCACCAGTTCCCACAAGATTACAGGTACATCTTGTTGACCAGTGCCAAGTATCACGAAATCCGAGTCATCAGGGTTTCCTGTCGACAACCTCCAACCACCATCTAATCTCAATAGATTGACTTTAGTTAGACAATCATTAAATAGCAGGAAGTAAAAGACGATGATTTGCTGCTGGAATAAAAGCCTTCAGAATAAATCATTGGTGACCTTGCAAGATATTAAATTCAGAAGTGTCAAGCCTAGCAATAAGTACTATATCTTTAAACTAGTGGACTAATATCCATTGGTTCATGTTAATCAGCTGTCAGTCCTCAATACTATCCCTAATGAAAGATGCATCACTGATTAAGAGTATACTACAAGAACTAGAAATGTAATTCCAACATAATTGTGGTCTTCCTATTACTGTTGTAATATTGAATGCAGAATGTAGTTGTTTGTAAGAACTATCAAAAATATCACATCTAATAATACATACTGGAGGATTGAAAAACAGAACATATCTAATGAGCATTCAACTTTATTAAATGATTTGCAGTAGTTCAATACTGGCAATTTTCGGATCCGCTGGCAAGACACAATTAGCAACAACCAACTGTGGGAAAGAACGAACTAGATCCCAGTGGAGGAAGAAATCAGGAAGAATCGCTGGATGTAGATAGGACACACATTGAGGAAAGCACCCAAATGTGTCACAAGACAAGCACTCACATGGAATCCTCAAGGCCAAAGGAAAAGAGGAAGATAAAAAAACACATTATGTCGGGAAATGGAGACAGACATGAGAAAAATGAACAAGAATTGGATGGAATTAGAAAAGAAGGCCCAGAACAGAGTGTGTTGGAGAATGCTTGTCGGCAGCCTATGCTCCATTGGGAGTAACTGGCGTAAGTAAGTAAGTAATATTGGTAATTATAAATTAAAAACAAATAAGGTGTGTTTTAAACAGTCGAGATCATGAGTCAATTGAAGTTAGACTACCATGGAAAACCTGGAAACACTGGACGGCCGTTTCGTCCTGACTGGCTTCAAGATATATATCCTGGAGTTCTAGTGAGAAGCAGTGACCAGTGAAGTTCAACCCGGTCAGTTGTGAGGTAGTAACTCACTGATGACAATGGTGGATGTGTCGCTCAATTTCGTGGATTAGTTGAAGCTAAACATCAACACCATTGGATACCGGCTCAGTGGTCTAGGTGGTTAAGCACCGAGCGCGAGACTGATAAGTCCTGGTTTCGAATCCCGTGAAGCGGGGTCGTATATGCTCACTGTTGGGGAGTCCCACAATAGAACGATTTGACCTTCCAGTGCTTCCAGGTTTCTAACGGTGGTCTAACATCAATCGGTTCATGATCTCAACCAAAAAACAATACTTTGATGTGATATTCATTGACTATTGCCTACCATTATTCATTTGTACTAGTTCAGTTTAAAGTCTATTTCTATATTCCTACTTGTTTTTCTTTTTTCTTCCCTTCAGTTATCATCTAATATTCAACGGCTAATCATTAAATACCTTTAAAATTTATGTATATATAAATGAATCTATTCCCATTTGAAATTATTGTAATATTTTAAACATTGAATAAAATCATGACTTGGCAACTATTTTGATTTATTTATTTATTTTTTTTGATGATAAGGGGACACGTTTGTTCCTTATTGAAAATATTGATTTCCGCGGTTATTTAAAAATGTTTCTATTTTTCTTTTTTTTTTAATGACATAGCAACCGACTTTAATTTTAATGTTTCATGTTTGAAATTTTCGCTTTAGTAAGTTTTTTCGTTTTTAAATTTTGAATCTTCTATTCGTTGACACTAAAGACCAATGAATATTGGTTTGATTTATTTAAAGTTCATTATTGGCATAACAACAGTTTGTTTGTTTCTTTTTTTAGTTTAGTTCGGAATAACATATGTTCATATCACGTTTACAATATTTTGTCACTGTTATACATAATATGTTATATATATATGTAGGTAACAAAGTCTTTAGTTATACTCAATTGGTGTTGTTTATTTATATCTTCTAATGTTATTTAGGATTGCCATTGATCATCAGTCTTTTATTGGCATATGTGTATCCCGTGCTGATTGCCTCGATTTTGTCTGAAATCACAAGCTTTATAAGTAAAGATGGAAAGTGGTTAACAGTGGAATACAGGATATGCGTTTCGTCCAATTTGGGACTTGTCAGGTAGATTTACCTGCATCTGTATTGATGTTCACTCTGGGACTCGAATCTAGTACCGTTCGCTTCAAATGTAATCACGGTATCCACTTAGCTATTAAATCTGATGGAAATTTTCTTGTGCAATCGGGTGAAGTTATATTCGCCTCGTATTACTTACTTGTATCTTCCCATTGTTATTTAAGATAGAGTAATCA